TTTAAAAAAAAAAAGGCTCTTTGGAAGCATTTGTTCAGTTTGTTTAAAAAAGTGAGAGGAACAGAATAAGGTATTTATTTGATCATGGTTATCATTTTTACCTAGAGAAGACAGTATTATGTGTTTAGAAGGTATGTATACATTTTAGTATCTTTAACCTTTAATGCAACTGAATAACAGGGACTTTATATATTGTTGTGAAGGACCTTTAGATGTAGTGCTTATTTAAAATGTGAGTAGCTGGACACAGTGGTGCATACCTGTAATCCCAGCAACTCAGGAGGCTGAGGCAGGAGGATTGCAAGTTCAAAGCCAGCCTCAGCAATTTAAAAAGGCTCTAAGCAATTTAGACCTTGTCTCAAAATAAAACAAAAACGGCTGGAGGTAGCTCAGTGGTAGAGCACTTGCCTAGCACGTGTGAGACACTAGGTTTGAGTCTCAGCACTGCATATAAATAAATAAAATAAAGATCCATTGACAACTAAAAAATATTTTAAAAAACAAAAGGGCTGGGGATGTAGCTCAGTGATTAAGCACCCCTGGGTTCAACCCCCTGTACTAAAATAAATAGATAAATAAAATGTAGTATGCTTCAATTTTTCAGTACATGCCATAAACTGAAAAATGCATAAGACATACATTATACATGTAAAATAAGATAGGGCTGGGACTGGGGCTCAGTGGTACAGCGCTTGTCTACCAAGTGTGAGGCACTGTGTTCAATCCCCTGCACCACATAAAATAAATGTATTGTGTCCATTTATATTAAAAATAAATAAATAARATAAATCTAACCCAACATCCCAGGATTTACTAGCTAAGGGACTGGACAAGTTACCCAATTACCCTGAGCTATAGTTTTCTCATTAATAAATCAGGATATTATGTTTTTATTTTGGTTTGGGTTTTTTTTTTTTTGTTTGTTAGATGGGCCATCACTAAATTGCCCAGGCTGGCATTAAACTCACTATCCTCCTGCCTCAACCTCCATAGTAGCTAGGATTACAGATGCACTCACAGGGAACCCAATAATGATATTWTGTTGCAGAAAATTGTTAGCACAGTAACAATGTATAAAAAGCATCTTGTTTATTACTTATCATTTATCAATAAATGATAATCAATGTTATTTTCCCCATCCACTAAATATTTTTATCTTATTGTTATGTGAATTTTGTGTGTTTTGTTTTTGGTTTTGTTTTATCTTGTTTTTTCAGTGTGGTGATAAAATCCAGAGCTTTGTGCAGGATAGGCAAGTGCTCTACAACTAATATACACCCGCAGCTCCAGTTATGTAATTTTTATTTTTAGTAGTATATTATAGTGATTGTAAAAAGTCTTCAGAMATACTTTATCCCTACCTTCCTTGTCCTGCTTATAAATATTACAATTTACCCAATTTGAGTTTATGGAAAAAGAAAAGAACCAGAATTAAGGTAGAAAGAGATTCAGAAGATAGTGCAGTCAGAGAAGTCAAAGAAAAGAGAGTTTTAATAGAGAGGGAGTGTTCAGCAGTATGAGATGCTGTAGAAAAGACAAGCAATATGGCAGTAGGACCCTGTTGAAGAACAAAGGAGAGCTGAGGAAAGGGGAAGACACACACAGGTTCCTCTTCATAGGAAAAAGAGAAACAGCTAAAGGGAATGAATAGGATTAAGGAATTTCTCCGAAACTCTARCATGAGTTCATATTTAATGGGGAGAAAAAAACGTAGAGAGGGGTCTGGAATTTAAAATACCAAAAAAGAAAGCAGTGTCCCTCTCTAAGCAAGAATAAAATTCACAGAGCATTTAGGAAGATTAATCTCTGCTGAATTAGGGGAAAGAACAGGAGGTTAAGTATGGAAAGTAAGGTTTTTATGTTGAAGGTTATGGAGAGTTTACCTCTTTGATCACAGAYACACACACAAATGGGGTTTTTGGTTGTATTTGAGGGAATGAGACTAAGACTGACTATTAAGAAATTTAAAGGTACCAACAATGATGTAAAACATTTGCTGTATAACAAATGCCTCAAATTTTAGTGACTTAAAACAGTAGACAGGGCTGGGGATATGGCYCAAGTGGTAGCGCGCTCGCCTGGCATGCGTGCGGCCCGGATTCGATCCTCAGCACCACATRCAAACAAAGATGTTGTATCCGCCAATAACTAAAAAAATAAAAATATTTTAAAAAAAAACAGTAGACATTTATTATCTGACAGTTTCAATGGATCAGGGATTCAGGAGCAGCTTAGCCAGATGGTTCTAGCTCAGGGTCTCTCATGATGTTACTGTTAAGAAAGCCAGAACACCAGGCAGAGAGGCAGTTTCCCAGATGGCTATTAGCAAGAAGTATCAGTTCCTTACCACCCAGAATTCTTCCATAGGGCTACTGCTAAGGGAACTTTACATTTATTCTAGGGAAAAGAGTGGGAGTAAGCCAAACACAGTGGCTCCCACCTATAATCCTGGCAACTCAGGAGACTGAGACAGAGGGATCACAAGTTCAAAACCAGCCTCAACAACTTAGAAAGGCCCTAAGCAACTTAGTGAGACCCTGTCTCCAAATAAAATATAAAAAGGGCTGGGGATGTGGCTCAGTGATTAAATGCCCCTGAGTTTAATCCCCGGTACCAAAAAAAAAGAAAAAGTGGGATTAAAGAAATTTTGGAAAAAATGGAAAGAGGAACACAAAAGAACTTTATCTTACCAAGAATAAAAAAGACATTTTTACTAAACTGACTGAGTATGTTGCAGTTTCAAGTTGCCATAAATAATGACTGAAATTAACTGTGCTGTGTGGGTAGCAATACAGCCACATGGTGTAAATAGTTTACTGTCTGGAATCAAACTGTCTGCCTTACTAATTGTGTAGTTTTGGAGGAAATGACTGAATTTCTGTTTGTAATCCATAAAATGGAATAAAGAAGCCAGRCATGGTGGTATATGTCTGTAATCCTATCTATTCCAGGAGTTAAGGCAGGAAGAATCCAAGCCATCC